GCTCGAACTACTACATCTCAAAGAATATGTAACATTAAAACAAATGCAAGTTTTTCAAATATTGGTCACGTTGGTCATGGTTAGTTGTGTAAATTTTTTTTAATATATTTATTCAAAACTATTTGTTCTTTTTGGTGAAATTATTATTATTTTCTAAACCTTTAAAATCTAAATTTTCTTCATCAGAGTTTCAAGGAACAAATGACAATCAAGCAAGAACGAGTATCATAAATATTGATCACATAATTCATGGTTAGTCATCATCAATTTCAAATATATTCATAATTGTTTATTTATTTTATTTGACAATAAAAAAAGGTAAACTTATATATTTAAACTTTATATTTATTTAATTATTTTAATAAATTCATTATAATTTTTGTATGGACACATTTCTTTTTTTTTTTATAATTATGCAGATCATACAACAAGGTTTCAAGGAACAAATGACAATGAAGCAGGGCCGAGTACTATACATATTAATAACAATGTTAATGGTTAGTGAAAATTAAATACAATTATGAAAAACTATCATATATATTCAAACATTTTATTCACTTAACATATCATAACCATAAATTTACAATTTAAAAATGCTATTTTTTTGGTTTACAATAATACAGATTTCATGGAAGTGGAAATGCAAAATGTGAGTAGTATAGAACCAAGTATTCAAGGTACACACAATTTCTTTATGACCCGTATGATGGAAACTTTACGAAAATATTATTTTTAAAGAAATTTTGTTATCTCAAAATCAGGTTTTGCCCCTTTTAATTTATAATATTTATGAATTTAGATTAATATTTGATCATGATATACAAAAACTAAAATTTGTTTCTTTTATTTTTTTATCGACAGTCAACTTAAGATTCAAGGAGATCCTCCAATTATATGAAGAGATCAATAGAAAGAATTTGAATATGTATTTTCACAAACAGGTAAGTGATAACATATTCATTCAGTTTTTATTATGAAACTTTATTATTATCTATTTTTTATTATATTACTTATATTTACTAGGAGGATGACTTTGAAAAATTATGGAATATTTGGAAGGACAAGTATTCACTCTCAACAATTTCTCTCATTGACAACAAGGTTCAATTTAATTTGAAAATGTCATCTTCATATTTTGTTATTGCATATCTATTTAAATTATATTTTCTTTGTGGCAGGTTTATCGTTTAAAAGTATATTCTATTGGGTGGAGTTCTACAGTAATAGTAGATAAAACCCAACTTTGAAAAATGGTGAAAAAAGAATTGTTGTCTCAAAAATTAGAAAGGTAATATAATAATATGGTTCTAAAAATATTTTAAATGTGATAATTTCATATATATAAAAATATAGTTGTATTATTACCTAATTTAAATAAATTCTAACTCATATTTTTCACAATAATAGGACACTTGAAAATGCAAGATCGAGTAATATCTGTCATATTAAAAACTTTCATGCAAAACAAGATATCTCCATTTTTTAGGTTGCGGTTATTTTTTTCATAAACTATAAAAATTTACATGAAATGTTAAATCTCTCATATTGATACTTGACACTCTATTTTTTGTTTTTGCAGTTTCTTAAACTTAAAGAAATTATGGATGATGTATTTTATAAAGAATTAAAATTTATTCTCGAAAAGTATGACATTATGCAATTTAATTATTTATTATTTAAGACATTATTTATTATTTGTTGGCATTTAAAGTCGTTCATAATTTGCAGAGAAGCTAAAAATCGTCATGAAGCGAAATCATTATTTGATCTTCCTATTAAGTAAAATTTATGATCGACAAATTTCATGTGATTATTATATATATTATTTTAATCCATCATTACAAATATAACTATATAGAACATAAATTTTTCTTTCATATGAATTCGCCTTCTATTATGTTTTGATTATTATGCACTTCATCAATGAATAATGAGTAAATTAATCATATTATACCGTGTAAAATTATTTATACGATTATATGTCAAGAATGAATTCATTCAATCTATACGTTTTTTTAAATTTAGAGATAAAATTCATATAGAGGCACGGCCCGCTAGTTAAAATAAATTACACAAACATCAATCAAATGAGCGGGAGGTTCATTTGCATTTTTTTTTCAAACGCATTTGACCCCTGATACGTAGTAAATGAGAACACGACACATGAATGGAGCAGCTAGGCCTAGGCCCTTATGTAACAGACACGCAAAGCGCAAACCGGTCAAAGGTTGATGCGAGCATGACATATGCGGCAACGCTTAGCAGCTCCCTGTGCCATCTCCTCTTCCTCTTATCTGTTCAGATTTCACATGTCTCCCCTACGCCATTTTAGTGGTCTGTCATGTGGTAAAAATCACCTATATATATATATATATATATATATATATTTTTTTTTTTTATTTTGTATTTTTAATATTTTTTATTTAATTTGGCCAAAAAGCTACCGATTTCTTTTGTTTCAACTCTCTTCGTCTTGTTGACATGTTTATTGTCCTCAAGAGCATCGTCTTTCTCCAGTGTTTGGTAGAGAAGTAATGAGTGAAAAATAGGATGAAAAAGAGTAAAAACAAAAAAGTGAAAATGAGAAAAATTATTTGGTTAAGAAAAATTAGAGAGAAGAAAAATAAAAAAAATGACGAATCTTTTTTATTTATTTAATTTTTATTTTTTTCTCCTCTCTCTTTTATATATATATATATATATATTTTATTTATTTATTTATTTATTTTGACTAAACAATCAAATTTTTATTTCATTTTTTATCTATTTTTCTGCATTTTTATTTCACTTTATTTTATATTTTACTTATTTATTTGCGCTTTACCAAACACAAGCCAGTAGAACTCTCGCCATATGTAAATGTGATACTATAATTTTCTTTTTTATTTCTATATATAAAAGTTATTAATACCAATATTTGCTTGTAAAATAAAACGAGCATTAATTAAATTTGCCAAAAGCTTCGAAACATGAACGTACCCGCTGAAAAACCAAGAGTTCCTTTCTCAAAATGTTTCGAGAATAGCGGTGGCCCCATACAGTGTATCTATTTTTTTCATAATTTTTCAGCAAAAATCTTTGACGTTTGATTACTTGAAACAAAAGAAACGAAATAAAAAAGAGAAATATTTAAAATTTAATTTAAAATAAAAAATATTTATTAAATTCAAATTATAATATCATTATTATATTTTTAATAGATAAAATTATATAAAAATATTTTAATTTTCATAATTTATTTATCTTCTGTACAATAAAAAAATTGTTTATTTTTCTTCGATCAGATAAAAATATATTTTTTACTTTTTTCACTAATTTTCTCCATTTAATTTATTTTTCTTCAATCAAATAAAAGATTTTTTAATATATTATTTTTAATTTCTATTTATATAAATAACTTATCTTTCATTTTATTTATCAAAATGTACTAATTTACTGTATATGATGAGAAGTCGGTTTACCACCAAACAAATTTTCAACTTAAAAAAAATTGAAAACATTTAAATACCATATGAGAAATTGGTTTTTCCAAAATCGATTTCTCACCATGGGTTACGTTTTTTTATTTTTTATTTTTTATTTTTGATTTTCTTATTTATTTATTTTCTTAAAAATTATTTAAATTATAATTGAAATTTTAAATATAACTATTTTTAATTAATTTAAATATATAAATTACAATGTAATTAAAATTCTAGTATAAAACTTTTGAGACTTGTTATTTAGATAACAGAAATGCATGAATTTAGATAAAAACTTGTAAAAATAATAAAAAATAATGTATTTATTTAATTTTTAAGATTTTTTAAAATATTATTAAAAGAATTATTACTAATTGAAAATAATGTTAATTTTAAATTAATAATGTAGAATATAATTAACTTAAATATTTGATGTTAATAATAAAATATTAAAAAAAATTATTTAAATTTACAAAATTTTCAATTATAATTTAAATAGTTTTAAAAAAAATTAAAAATAAAATCAGATTTTAAAAAGAAAACGTAACCCATGGTGAGAAATTGGTTTTGAAAAAGCCGATTTGTCATATAGTATTTAATTTTAAATTAATAATGTAGAATATAATTAACTTAAATATATGACATATACTATTTAATTTTAAATAATAATGTTAATTTTAAATTAATAATGTAGAATATAATTAACTTAAATATTTGATGTTAACAATAAAATATTTTTAAAAAATAATGATTTAAATGTACAAAAATTTCCGTTATAATTTAAATAGTTTGTTTAAAAAGTTTGTTTTTTAAAAGATTTTTTTGAAGAAAAAAAAAAACGTAACCCATGGTGAGAAATTGGTTTTTGGAAAAACCGATTTATCATTCATATAGTATTTAAAAATTTTTATTTTTTTTAAATTGAAAAATCGGTTAGTAGCGAACCAATTTCACACCATGTATAATGAATTGATATATTTAAATAAATAAAATGAAAGATAAGTTATTTATGTAAATAAAAATTAAAAATAATATATTAAAAAAAGAAATCCTCAAATAAAAATACAATATTTATTATTTTTGTCACTAATTTTCGCCACAGTTAATTCGTGTCTATCCTCAACTTAAAGAAATGATAAATGCCTGTGTACTTGTGATGTGACTAATAGGCTCTGCTTGTAGCCTCTTTCTACAGGAGTGATTACACTACTTTTTATATAGCAATAACTACACTGTTAAAATAATATTTATTTATTTGTTTTTTAAAAATTTTTCTTTTGAGGGTACGATTGTTTTTTTTTTTTTTTACTTGCTGCATGGTTTTTCATTTTGTTTTTTATTCTTCACACCTTTTCCGTTTCTTGTCACTCTGGGTAATTCCTTCAACTTTTCACATTGAAGGCTTACGAGGTATGGATTTTTTGTTTTCATGGCTTTCCATTGCTTCTTCTCCATTCTTTTGTCTTCTTTTCAGATTTTTTCTTCTTCTTGGTTTTGTCTTCTTTCTTTTTTCATTTTTTTTTATTCTTCATCTTGTCTTCTACTTTTACTCCTCTAATCATTGTGTGGTCTGTGTTTTGCAACTCTTACTATTAGTCTTCTTCTTATTCTTACTGTATATTTTTTCTATTTATTATTATTTACCCTCTTTCTTTTTCTCCATTTTTTTAAAAAATTCTTTTGCCAATATGAGTTTTGTTTCATATTAAAAGTTTGCCCTTTAATCGTGGAGTGTATGATTTATGTGTTCTTATTTTACTGTTGTATGCATTACATGTTACTTGGGGTTGGAAAGTTTGTTCCTTTCAAAAATGTTTACAACGTGTGCTTTAATGGGTATTCATTATTTGTTTTAGGGTAAGTCGGCGGGAAGTTTGCTTTTGTGACACTTCATTTCCTACAAAAACTTCATTTTTGATTGGAAAGGTTGTTCCTTTTAAATCTTGTGAAACAAGTTTGTTGATGCTATCTACTAATACCACTTTTTCAACTATGCAAACTGTTCTTGTTTCATTTCTAGTTATGGTACCTTCGATGGATAATGCTGACACATACCCATAATTTGTCAATTAGGTGTTTATAAATGGATGCTTCAAAATCCTTTGCGAGAAGACACGAAGAACGGTCCCTTACTCCATCATCAGCCTCTGTGAAACACAGGAAGGTGAAACAAGCATTGGTGACACTTAGGAACTTGTTTCACAAACTAATGCATCAATACAATGCAGACCAACCCGGAAATTCGAAGGGTAAAACAGAAGTTCTGGTGGAAGCAGCAATGATAATGCAAAGAGAGCATCAATGGGAGAACACTAGAAAGATTGTGGGACATGTATCAGGAATTGAAGTTGGTGATCGGTTTCAATACAGGGCTGAACTTAATGTTATTGGCCTCCATCGACAATTTTCAAATGGCATTGATTATATGTCTAAGGGGAGTAGTTCATTGGCCACCAGCGTAGTTGTAACCAATCGATATGATAATGTTCGTTGGAAATCTGGTATGGTGGTTTACATAGGTCATGGAGGAGGAAATCCTAATGTGAAGAGTAATGTTTCATTTCATGATCAAAAGTTGGAAAGAGGAAATTTGGCTTTGAAGAATAGTATGGATGCTAAAAGTCCGGTGAGGGTTATATTGAAGGTTGAAGAAAAATTTAATGTTGTGGACAATTACACTGACAGTAGTTCTAACTTCTCATATGTTTATGATGGCTTGTACTTTGTGGATACAATGATACAGGAAAGAGGAAGAAGTGGAAAGTTTGTGTTCAAGTTTATACTGAAGAGAATGTTAGAACAACCCCAAACTTGTGTTGCTCTTAAGGGTGATGTTATGGACAATGCTGGCAATTCAGGGACATTTGCAAGAATTACTCCCAACAAAAGACACAAATCTAGAGGATGTTTAGTTCAAAAGGATGTTGTTCGAATAAATGATATTTCAGAAGGAAAAGAAAAATTTCCTATTCGGGTGGTGACACCGAAGGATTGTGTTCAGATACTTCCATCCTTCAATTACATAGTTGGTAACATTTATTCAGAGGTGTTCACACAGCCAATTTTATGTGGATGTGATTGTGCAGATGGATGTGTGGACCACAAGAAATGTGCTTGCAATGTTAAGAATGGTGGAAGAATGCCATATGATTGTAACAAAAGACTTGCGTCTCTCATGGAATCATCACTTATATATGAGTGTGGCCCTTCTTGCAGGTGTTCCTCATCTTGCACCAATCGAGTTAGTCAGCATGGTATTCAGTTCCAACTAGAAATCTTCATGACAAAATTGAAAGGTTGGGGTGTTAGAGCACGCTCATTCATCCCCTCCAGAAGCTTTGTATGTGCATACCTTGGGGAAGTCCGTAACAACAGACACTGTGAATCAAGACCAGATTTTGATGACTATATACTTAAGATTGGTATGTTCATGATGAATACCTTCTTGTGTTTGAACATCATTTAACAGTTTCATTCTGCTTTTGCAGGTGTCGGCAAGGGCTTCATTGATGCATCAAGATGCGGGAACATTGGAAGATTTATAAATCACAGTTGTTCTCCTAATCTCATTGTCAAGGATGTTACAAATGATCACAGTGATAAGAACCTTCCATATAAGGTGCTGTTTGCAGTTAAGGACATACCTGCTGGTAGAGAGCTGAGTTATGATTATAATTCCTCCAAGGGAAAGTTTATGAAGGTTAGGAATAATAGTTGCTACTGTGAAGCACGGGAATGCAATGGAAAAATCTACATTTAAAGGTATAAATTTTTTAAATATAAAATGCAACTTTCTACTTATTGTTACAATATCGCTTAGGACAGTTAATTGCGTTGTGAAAATAATTTAGTTAGGCCCTATGTATATATTATATTTACAGTTAGTTGCATTATGAAAATAATTTAGGTAGGCACTATATATCATACTCATAAATCTGGCAAGTATAAGGTAGTGGAGAGTATATTAAGGATGCACATGTCTTAGTGGAGAGTATATTAAGTATGAAATGTGTAAAACATCAAGAATTTTGAAATAAAAGAGAGTCTTGAACATAAAAAAAATAAATAAATTATGAACTAGAGTCACTTTGAAGTTAGGTTTGATGATATCTTGTATAAAGTTTGTCATTGACTCGTGTGGTGGTTCAATTATCATGGCACTTACACTCCATTTTTATTGTTTTTCAGTGCAACAAAATGACACAAGCTGACTGAGGAATTCAGAATCTTATAATAGTCTAGCAAACTTGTTTGTTGTTGTTGTCACATTTTGGACTGATTAGCCCCTACTAACTAGGATTGACACTGCTTAATATTTTGATAGGGTCTTGTGTAAGATGTGATTTAATCCTTGTTGAAGACTTTGTAGCAAGATATGTTGATATGCATATTTGTAAAAATCATTTTCCTCTTTTATCTTAATGTAGTAGTATTCAGCTTAAAGTGTTGTATGATATTCCATAGTTACCGGTTACAGCTTGCATGTTTTAGAGATATATTGTATTATTAGCCAAGGTTTAAGACAATGAACTTTTATTTTCAAATCAAATATATCATATTAATGATATATCTGTTCAATGTAAAAAATTTAAAATAAAAATAGATAAATCAACTTAACCGGAAGTATGGTAGAACAAAATTATTAGTTTTTTTATGGGTTAAAATTATATTAAAGGTTGGAGTTTAAGATCTTGTAGATATTACAATCAAAATAATTAGTTATATCTTGAGTTTGTGAAAACTTTATTTTAGAAGAATTTAGACGAAGTAAATAGCTGAATAGGGTGTATGCATTGAATGATTGAGTGACAAATTTAGTAATGGAATCAAATAGGAGAACTTCTAGTGTTCTTTCAATTCATTTTTATTTAATAATTTAAGGGCAAGAGGCTGTTTGGTTTGATTGTTTTTAATTTTCATTTTCAAACGAAACAGGAAATGGTTTAAAATACGTTTGGCTAAATTATGGAAAAACATTTTCTTTAAATTATTTTAAAAATTGAAAAACTGAAGAAAAGAAAAATGATGTTTTCCATTTTTTTTTCTCAAGAAATGAAAATAGTACAATAGAAATAGAGGTGGCACAATTTGTAATTTTAAAATTAATTTTGTTTAATTTTTTTTCTTATTCACGGCGTAACTGTAGCCTGAACACATGATTGCGTGTGTTTTTGGCTTTGTGGACGTTCAATTTTTATTGAACAGTGTATTAATGTGACAATTTTTATTTTCTGATGAGTTGAATATGATTTTTCTCACAACTGATGATTAATTCAAAACTTTGGTTTCTATGTTTGATGTATAGTAAATTTTGTTTCAAATATTAGTACATCTAATCTAAGTAGAATATGAAAAATTGATGTAACTTTAAAATCGCATTGAATTAGATATTCCAATAGTTATTGGAATATCTATCATTAGCTATTTAGTGTTTGGTTAATTAAAATCATATTTTTTTATGTATATATTTTAATATTTTAAAATTAATTATTTTTAATTTATTATATTAGCACCAACTTTTTAAATGTAATAATAATAATAACATGTTATCAATTTAAATATACTTTAAAATTGAAATAAATAAATGAATAATATTAATATTATTATATAAAATTAATACTCATTTTTATAACTATTCATTTGTAAGTGTTTTCGGTTAATATCATTCAAACAAGTTTCAATTTTGTAAAAGTACTTTTAGAATAAAATTATCCAAACGTAAAGATACCCTAAATTTACTTTTAATTTAACTAAGGTTTATAAAGTTAATTTCAACCAATCTTCATTTCATAAAATGTAATTCAAATACATTATCATGGAACATGATTTGCTCTGTAGGCGTAATTATTTTATTTCAGTTAAAATATTTTTTAATCTTTATAATTTTACTTTATTTTTTAGTTTCATTAGTTTAAAGGAGATATTTTGTTCCTTAATATTATATATGATTTTTTTATTATTATTTTTAGTCTTTATAGTTAATTTCTTTATAATATCATATTTGTGTGTAACGGAATCTTAGTAAGTTCGTATAATGATATATTTGGTTTTCTTTTGGATAATATTGTATTATTTAATAATTTATTATGTAGATATCAACCATATAACTGATCATCTGGTTCACATTTAGTGATAATAAATATTTACTATCTACAAAATCATTTAGACTCTTCATCTCTTCCCTTCCAAACTATTAAGTATTAAGTGACACATCACTATCCATATATGCAAATATATCATTTTTACATATATTTAATAATTTAACATCATTCACACAAAAACAGTATTACAAAGAAATCAATGTAAATATTAAAACAGATTAAAAATATAAATATAAAAATTAAAAATGTTATTTAAAATTATAAAGATTAAAAAATAAAATCAATGAAATTATAGACTAAAAAGTATTTTAAGATTTTACTTATTATTATGAATTGTAATTTTAAATTCTTTATAATATTAAATTTATAATTTTGATATCATCACTAAATATTCATTTTTTAATCATTAAAATTATAATGTTCTTTGTGATCTTACATAAGATAGATCATAGATAATTAATATTAAATAATATTTAAATTAAATTAAATTTTTAATTCTTATTTTTATGTGATAAAATTGTGAATTAAAGTGAAATTTTAAATTAAATATCATTAAATATTAATTGTTATTTGTTATTTAATTTCAAATCTAATTAACATTGCAATTTAACGACCAATCAAGTAACATCGAAGAGATTGAATATATGAATTTTATAAAATTAAGAGATAAAAATAAAAAAAATAAAAAATTTAAATTTACAAATTTAATATTATATATCTTTTGTTTTTTTTTTGGGTTTTAGTTTGGGAATTTTTTACTAAAATAATTTTTTTTTAAAAAAAATTACCATAAAAACATCTGTACCACTTTATTTACTCAAATAGAACATTTTATTGTTCACGTTCAGAATTCGATTCTCGGGGAACCGAATTCTGAGCTATTAATTTTTTTGTTGTTGCGTTTTTGGACCTGAGAATGGTGTAAAACTAGAACCGAAACGACACGTTCTGAATGGAGAATGGGTCATTCTTCTTGCAGAACAGCCCGTTCTGCAAGGAGAACGACCCGTTCTCCATTCAGAACGGACCGTTCTGGATGCAAAAATACACACATGACGAATGCATCAAAACGGGCCGTTCTGTTTGGACGTTCCAGTTTAAAATATAACAGATTATTCGTGCAAGCAGAACGACCCGTTTTGCTTGGAGAACGGGCCGTTCCAGTTGTAACATTTACCCACAACCCGAACTACAAATAGAAAAGAAAAAAAAATTTAAATACTTCTCAGAATTCGGTTCCCCGGAAACCGAATTCTAAGCTAAAAAAAAAAAATTGAAGTTCAGAATTCGGTTTCTCAGGAACCGAATTCTGAACATAAACAGTAAAAGGTTCTATTTGGGTAAATAAAGTGGTACAGGTGCTTTTTTGGTAAATTTTTTTAAAAAAATATTATTTTAGTAAAAAATTCTTTAGTTTGGTCCTTTCACTTTATACTTTTTTCTTTCATTTTCAATTTTAGCCTTTATTAATGTGAAGCACATGATTGGTACAGACTACTAACCTAGTTAGGAGTCCTTCGCATAATAATACTATAGCACATCTACCATTTTTTAAAAAAACTAAAAGGAATACCCTTTTTTCAAAAACTAAAAGGGCAATTTACTTTATGATTTTTGTTTCACAGTTCACGCGTATTGATATTTCGGGGTTGCTGAATTGCTCTGAATTTATTAGTTCTATATAACTTTTTGGTCAAACTGTAATATATTCTTCATATATATCTGTTAGTAACAAATGAAGTAATTTAGGAAGGATCGAAATGAGGGTCCACAAACAATATCATATCATATATCAATAATATCATAGTTTTCGGTCATTCTAATCTTCTTACTCACTATTTAAAGTAAACTTTTATTAATTATATAATGAACTACACTGAAATGGAATCGTATTCTATGATGGGGTCATCATGATCAATGTTATTTATTAAATGTGAGTAATACTGATCGTGGTTTAATATTAAGGGGATTGTTTGATTTATTGATTCTAAATTATAACCCGGCAGTTTAATATTAAGGAGCTGATAGTATAGAAATAAGAAAAAGTTACAACTTAAATAAAAATTTATCATCTGATTTATTTAAAATTTGACTTGACTTAAGTTATTTAATAAATAAGTTAGATTATTAAAAAAATTATTTTTTTAAAAGGATTAGATTTAGACTTAGATTTTTTTTATAGATTTAATAAATCAATTCATTTATTTATGATATAATAAAAAATAATATATATAATATTATTAATAATATAATTAAATAAATATATTTATAATACAAAATTTTACATTATCAATATTTTTTTTACATTTCTACTACATTTAAATGTTATACATTTCTTATTCATACAACATCAAGATATTAAAAGTAAAATCTTAATAGCTACATTTTTGTATTTTTTTTTTCTTTCATCTTCATTGTTGATTATTTAGAATACTTCAAAATATGATATAAAAAATATTTTAAATTTTTTTAAAAATAAGATTATCTTCTCTATTACAGTCTATGCGTGAAGATAAGTTGGGGTATATGAGTATGCATGAGTTGTCCATTAATTAACTTTTTATTTTTTTATTTTAAACCCTAAATTTTAATAATAATAGAATAAACTATTTTTTTATATGAATTAAAAAAGAATTATTATATAAATAAAATAAAAACTTGTATGTGTATTTAAAAATATAATTATTGACTTATTTAAAATTAAATTGATTGACCTATTTATTGTTAATGCAAAATAAGTTTTCAAATAAATAAATTACAAAAATAGACTTTTAAATAGATTAATATATCATGTCAAACTTTAAAAAGATCTAAAACTATAAAAAAAGTCTTTTATAAAATATGACTCACTTATATATTCAAAGTCTAGTATGTCTTAATATATTCTCATTTCTAATGATAATTTTAAAAATAATATTTCAAGTTTGAGAAACTTGCAAATCAGATAGATATAAGCAAATTATTGAATATATATATATATA